CTTACACATGCTAAATCCTCTTTCAGAAAGGCCTGACTCCAGTTATCAATGGCTGTGCTCTCCAATTATTCAGGTCATGTCATATTATCAGAAAGAATGTTCCTATCCACTGTATCTATCCAATATCACTCCCTCCTCATCATCCTACTTTATCCTTTGATCCTGGTTGATTGTTCTTTATAGCATTTTAAACCCTTGACAAATGAGAAAAATCATGATTATTTACTGTCAGTCTCTCGCAAACAGGCTGTAAGTTCCATGAAAGCAGGAGCTTTCCTTGAGGCATTCCCTGCTATATCCACTGTCTAAAATTGGGCTTAGCACATAGTAGGTGCCCAGGAAATGCTAGTTGAGTCAATAGGACCCAATCCTTATTTTACATTCCTAATTCATGTGAGGGAATGAGCCTTCATCACTCAACTTCTCTTTTTCTGCAAAGACGCTGTATTTCGAGGGCTCTGAGTCTAAAACATTGACCCTTTCAAGCTTAGGGGGATGAAATATGCCAGCTGCAACCCATCAGTTCCCCCTGGTTAAAGGTTAGAGGGGCGCACATGCTCTTCCAGCCAGTTCCCCGGCACTGGGTCGCCCTCGCAAGCCTTGATCAAGTTATCATATCTAGCCAGTGTCTCCTGGACCCCGTCACTTCTGAATGAGAAAAAATTTGCAGACAAATTTCTAGCAGCAGGAAATTGGCGCTCTCCTGCAAGGCTGCCTAAAAAGCACCTGCGGCCTCTGCAGCCTCCCTCCTGGTCCTGCTGGGAGGCAGCTTCCAACCTCAGGCTTGGGGACCAAGAGTCTCTGCTCCTTTGCTTCCAACCTGCCTGCCCCTCGGAGATGCTGCTCTGGTTCCCGGACTGCCCTCGGGCCAGGTCCAGATGAAACACACCCACATCCTCCCTGGTGACATCTAGTTAATGGACTTTCCCCAAGTTACTCTGGTCAAAGAAGAGGACTGAAGCCTATCACCACCAGCAAAACCTGCCTTCTCATTGTCCTCATGCTCCGGGGCATTAGATTAAGTGCCAGGAAAGTTCATTTACAGGAAGGCTCCTCCGGCTATTCCAGGGAGGAAGGGAACACGCTGTTTTCTGTGCCTTATCCACATGTGTCCAACCATGTTCACTTTTTAGAGAAAGCTGTGAGAAAGAAACAAAAAGCATTTTTTTCCCCTTGCACAGGGGAAAAAAAAAAAAAAGATTTTTTTTTTTCCCCTAGGAGAGAGAGTTTTGCTAGAGAAAAAGAGCTGAGAGGATAAAGATATTGGCAGAGCTTAATGCCATAAATCTGATTAATTTACCTTGTGACACTCGCAACAAAAAAGTTAAGGGTCAGAGCCTTGCCTGCAAAGTGACCTTTCACCTGCAGCCAAGGCAGTCACAATGGGGGCCTCGACCGCCTTTCACAGCTACCTGCTGCTGCGGACAATGAGATTGGACACAGTTTTCAACATGATGGAGAACACCTCTAGAGCAGCGGCTTTGTTCTTTCTGCCTGCAGAGTGCAGAGCGCCCAGGCTCACACCCTTACCATCCAGTGTTCAAATAGGACCAGACAGGAGCTATGTCTCTCAGACAGGGAGCCAGGAAACTAAAACCGAGCCTTCTGACTATGACTCATCACAGGAACATATATTTAATAACTTACAGAATCTACAAAGATGAATTCATCTTGATTTTGCCCTCAGGAAACACAGGGGGCCATGCCACTAAATAAAATAGGATGCAATTAGTGCCTAACCTAAGGGAGATGCATAGTCACAGGATGAATAATTGAGTGATTGATGGGGAAACTTTGTGTACAGAGGGAAACACTACAAGAGACAAAGTCTGAGATCCCCAAACTGAAGAAACTCAGAGAGTGATCTTAACCTCCGTCTCTTAAATTATGTCAATATAGGTAAGGGGTGGAAAGTCAGGTGAGCCTCCCTCTTCTCTTACTTATTTCTGTTAAATGATGTCCCAGGCCAGTCACTGTCTCACGGGGCACAAACAACATACACAGGGGCCCCCCTCGTGGCCCTGAGTCTTTCTGGAAATAAGCGGCCCCCCCATAGGACACGCTCAGAGCTTTCTCTGTTGCTGCATGTTGCCACATGGTATTGCCAGCAATGCTCGCAGCCTTCCAGTTCTGCGTTTCATCTTGGCTTTAGCAGCATGTATTAATAGAAGGGAACATCTGGCAGAATGGCATCACGAAATGGAAACCAGCTGCTCAGCCAAGTACCACCGAGAGCTGTTTATCCGTGGAATTAACCTTTTGTTCCACGTTTGTTTTGTGGTAGGACTGTGCTGCATTTTTAAGTTCACGTTATTCCCAGTCTCTTCTCAAGGCACCTAATTTTTGCTGATTCAGCACTTCGCATTCCTGGCAGAAGGCAGTTTAGAACAGCTGCCTGCTTGAAAACCCTCCGGTGGGCAGTTGCACTTGGCTCCTTACAGACTGATGAAACCACAGATGGGCCCAGGTCGGCTCGTGGGAGAATCCCAGGCAGGCCCGACTCCATCTGCACATTGAAATGGTGTCTAGACAGGAGGCTGGGAACCCTCACCTCCAAATTCACTTGGAAAGAGCTCAAAGTGTGAAAGGAATTTACTGCCACTGAAAGATCTGGATCATGCAGGCCAAACCCCAGGAAGTGCTCTGGGAGAAAGAAGGGAAGGGAGGAGGGACGGAGGAAGGGCAGAAGGAAGGAAGGGGTGGGGGAAGGGAGAAAAGGGGGAGGGAAGGGGTACTTCCCAGAGAGTGTACATGCTGAATTAGCACAGCTCACAGGATCACCCCGAACCTGTACGGTCTCCTGCATGGTGGTCGTGGGCTCTGATCATCAGGCAGGTTGTCCCCCATGGCTCAGCTCCAAGAAGGAAACATGAATCCTCACATATTCAGCCTTAGGGCTAGCCATGGACCAAAAAGGGCTTGTTTTGTTGTTGTTTTGCCTGGATTTACATGGAAGCCCAAGATATAAAACAAAACAAAGTGAACTGGCTCTGATTGCAGGAGAAACAGGAGGTGGCCAGGAGCCCACTCCCTAGGGTATTTCTTCCATTTCCCCCACCAATGTTCCATCCCCTTGAACCGGTCCAAAAAAACACATTGAGATTGAAACTAATGGATCCATGCCAAGGCTCAAGTGGGTGGAAGCCAAGAGAGGGGAATAGACTTCCCTATGAGTGCATGGCAGCACTGGGACTGGAAGTGTGTCTCCATCTCTCGGGCAGGTACTGACACTTACACCCCCGGCTAGGTGTGCACCTGGGCATCTTCATTTCCTGATCCTAGCAAGGAGGAATGTCTCTACAGTGATAGGAAAAGCACAAGGAAGCAAGCTGTGGGTCCTCCCCACCCTAGGCATACATTCCCAGCTGGGGAACACGCACTGCATGCGGCCGCAACATTCTAAAAGCACCTCCGGCCCTAGATTCAGACAAGCAGACTTTGTCTGGGTACCATATGTCTGGCTTCTTAAAGATTTCATTTTACATTAAAAATATAAACATTGGAATAAAGGAAAAGCTGAATTCATTTCATGCTTAGTCAATGAAAGGTTTGTTTGTGATTTATTAATTTTTTTAAAATAGAAAAGGAGAAGGGAACCACAAAGAAAAAAAAAAGCAACAGATCACATATCCTCCAAGCAACCTGTAGGCTAATGCCAGCATTAGACCTGTCTTACACAGGCCAGCTTTGACCTCCTGAAAGATCTATTTTAGTGGAGAAATCAGTGTGAGAACATGATACGATTTGAACAGATGAAGACTGTGAACAAAAGAAGTTCCTTGACTCTTAAAAAACATTGTTTTGGAAGATTACCCAGACATGCAATTTAATACCAGATGTTGGCATCTGGAGAGACCCTGATTTGACAATCTGGCAGGAAATATGAAGAAAACACAAATGGTAATTAAAAAAAAAAAGAAAGAAAGAAAGCCTGGCTGCAGTGATCCAGTGGAGCAGTCTGGGAATGTCAGAAAGCCAGGGTTTATCACCCGTGAAGCTTGAGTGATGGCAAGTGCTGCCTGAGAGCAAGGAGGGCTCTAGGAGGATATGTGAGAGTGAGGAAAAGGCAGGTTCTTTGGTGAGCGCAGTCAGTAGTTGGGGAAGCAGGCCGGGGGGTGGGGTATGGCTGGTCCCTGTGGTGTGGCCACAGGGCTGGGAGGAAATGGCCCTCCCAACCTGCTATTACAGCAGCTGAGGTTGGGCCCAGCCTGACAGCTGGGGGCTGGCAGCCTACACAGGAAGCACAGCGGGAACAGGCAGCACTTTCCCAAGCTCCGGATTCCAGGATACACCATGACAGACTCATTCCAGTAGCCTGACCATCCTCCACTCATTCACCTTCTTCTTAACCAGATTGAGTGTTAACATTGTACCTTCCAGTCTGTGACTAGAAATTCGTTTTTTAAAAATGCTGCTTTGCAGCATAAGTTACATGCAGTCAAATACTAAGATCTTAAGTGCTTGATCAGATTTGACAAATGAACACAGTCACGGGTCCCAGACTCTGATCAAGACACAGAACATTTCTATCCCCCCAGAAACGTCCTCCTTTCCCCTTCCTAGTCAATATCCCTGCACACAAACACACTCAGCATGGAGCAATCAACCACGGGGCTGACTTCCCTCACCACACGTAGAAGCTGCTATTCTAGAACTTCATACAAATGGAATACCACATATTCTCTTTTGTGTCTGACTGCCTTCACTCAATATGCTTTTGAAATTCATGCAAGTTGTTGCATGCATCAGCAGTTAATTCCTTTTTTTTCTTTCTCTCTGTGTAGTATTTTATTGGACAGATATACCACAAATACCATAATTTGTTGTTTATCCATTTACCCATTTTTGGACATCTGGGATGTATCCACTTTCTCTAGAAGTCATGTAAATTCATTCCTCCAGAGTAAATATCTAGGGGTGGAATTGGTGGACCATAGGGTAAATGAAGTTTAATTTTTTAAGAAATTGCCAAACAGATTTCCAAGGTGGTTGTTCTGAAGTTCACGTTTGTAGTATGCCTATCATGGTGGTCCCCATGCCCCAGTGCGTGTGAATGTACGCTTGTGGACACAGTGAAGAGCATCAGGAAATCCGAGGCGTATTTGTACTGAAGTGTCCCAATCTCGTTTCCTTATCTGTTGAGTGAGCTGGTTGAGCAGATAATGTTCAAAGGTATTTCTCATTCCATTCTGACATAATAAATCTTCTATTTCATCACTCTCTAGGAAAGCAAAACAAAAAACACATTAGTTATTATTCTCTTTTAAAAGCCAATACAGTAAATCCTCTATGTACAAATGAATTCTGTTCTGAGAGCATGTTTGAAAGCCCAATTTGTTTTTAAGTCCAACAAAGTTAGCCTAGGTACCCACCTAACACAATCAGCCATATAGTACTATACTGTAATAGTATAGTATTATTATTCCATTATAATACACGAAAAAGTAAAGAAAATGTTTAATCTTTTAGTGCAGTACCTTGAAAGGTACAGTAGTACAGTACAACAGCTGGCCTGTATTAGACTGGCATCCAGTGACAGGTAAGGAGAGTTACTGACTGGAGGAGGGATAGGCGATGAGAGATGGGATGATACTGAAGGATTGTCAGCAATAGGAGATAGATGGCAAGTTGCAATTTCACTCAGGCCTCATGCTGATGGCAAAGGTTCTGGTTCCTTGCTGGATTCAATTCTATCTACCCTCTTGAAAAAATGACCTAGTGACATCTGGGTGGTAGCTCTTTTCTTCCTATCATAAATGACATGGTAGCATGAAAGGCTGTTGTAACCTTTGTGTACCATTCTATATTTGGGTCCTGTGTCTCAAAAACTAACAGTGCCTCCTCAAATAGAACTAACTTATGTGAATGGACATGCAAATGCATGTCTGCATCTGTGAAAGTTTGCAACTTGAAGGTTCCAGGCTTTCACTGCCAGAGGGTGGATTCAGCCTCTGGTTGGGGAACTGAGATCCTGCAAGCTGCAAGGTGCAGCAAAAAAAAAGACAGAAAGCTAATATCTGATTTGTAGCCCACTAACAGAGTAGCTAGGTTGGTCATCTAACATTTTCAGGCCCTAGGTCATTTGTGGTACTTCTAACTGCAAGTATCAGAAAAGCTCATTGAAATTGACTTAACTAATAAAGAGGAGTTATTGGCTCATGGACCTGAAGCAAGCCCAGTCTTAGAGGCCAGGGATCAGGCTAGAGGGATTCCTGTTTCTCTTCTCTCTGGTTCCCTGGGTGTTGCCCTCCTTTCTACCATGGCTTCATTCTTAGTTTGATAACAAGATGTCAACAGTTCCAAGTCTCACTTCTATGTACATACAACAGAAGAGAAATTTTCCTTTTCAGTAGTTTTCTTAAACATGAGGAAAATTCTTTCCTAGAAGTCCTTAGAAAAATTTCCTCTCATATGTCTCATTGGCCTGCATTTGATAAGAGGCAGGCCTTATTTATTATATTTTACTTTATTGAGCATCACAGTTACTGATTTTTGTTTTTGTTTTTTCTTATAAATTGAAGATTTGTGGCAACTGTGTATTGTCAGATGATAATTAACATTTTTAACAATAAGATATCTTAAAATTAAGGTATGTGGCTCAGACGGTAAAGAGTTTGCCTGCAATGCAGGAGGCCTGGGTTCGATCCCTGGGTCAGGAAGATCCCCTGGAGAAGAAAATGGCAACCCTCTCCAGTATTCTTGACTGGAAAATCCCATGGATGGAGAAGCTTGGTGGGCTATAGTCCCCGGAGTTGCAAAGAGTCAGAAACAACTGAGTGACTAACACACTAACAGTGTTTTTTTAGATGCTTAGTAGACCACAGTATAATATAAGCATGACTTTTATATGTACTGAGAAATCAAAAAATGTGTATGATTTGCTTTATTGCAATACTCACTTTATTGCAGTGATCTGGAACCTAACCTGCAATATCTCTGAGGCATGCCTATACATGCCTTTTCCTAACCAATCTCTGAGCAGGTAATGCCATGAGATTATTGGTGGCCTGAATTCCTGGGCCAGTCAGTGATCCATTAGACTGATCAGCCCTATCAACAAAGAGACCAGTTTCCCCTACAGCATGAGACTGTGTGGAGATGGAGTAGGCACCCCCCTCAAAGACAAAAATGGGGATGGATGGAGCAGGCAGCCAGTGTCCACATAAATCCTTCTTCACAGGTATAGAAATGTATCACATGGGTTCTTACCAGGACCATAGAATCATATAAGATCACACAGCATACCCAGAAGCAGAGGCAATTCAAGAAGTATGGTAGATTAAATGTATCTACTATGGTAGATCACAAATACTTTGCAGCTTCTCCTATCAAATGGTGGAGATCTATTCCTCCATCCCTTGAATCTGGCCTTGTTTTGGCCAATAGAATGTGGCAGAAGCAATACTGTCTGTTCACCATTGCTCAGGTTTGCATTTTCTGTTCTTACACAAAACTCCCCACACCATACGAGGAAACCTGGGCTAAATGATTGAATGGAGGATTCCCTAGTGGCTCAGTGGTAAAGAATCTGTCTGCCAACGCAGGAGACATGGGTTCGATCCCGAGTCTGGGAAGAGCCCACACACCATGGAACAAATAAGCTCGTTGCTATTGAGCCTGTGCTCTAAAGCCGGGGGACTTTCAACTACTGAAACTTGTGTGCCCCAGAGCCTGTACTCCACAACAAGAGAGGCCTCCACAATGAGAAGCCCGTGCACCACAACTAAAGAAAAGCCTGTGCAGCAATGAAGACCCAGCACAGCCAAAAATAAATAAATAAATAAAATTATTGAAAACAAAATTGAATGAGAGGAGACTGCTGAGCAAGGAGACCCCATGGACAGCTGGCACCGAGGCTCAGAACACGCAAGTGAGCCATCATAGATCCTCCAGTTCCAGTCCAGCTGTCGCTGCAGATATTTCAGTGACTCACAACAGAAGCATCACAAGAACTGCTCAACTGAGTTCAGCCAACCAAGAGAATTATGAGAAATAATAAAACCCTGTTGTTTAAGCCCCTATGTTTGGGATGCACTGAGGCAGGAAGGGCTCTTAAAACGCCTCCAATCTCTCCAGCAGCTGATTATCCACTGAGCCTGTCAGGCAAAGGTCTGAGGCAGCCCTATCCAGTTTGGAGAGCTCTCCTAGGGAGTCTTTCTACTGTGAGGCCAACTCAGCCTCCTGACGCCTCCAGCCCTCAGCCCTAGTTCCCCAGCTCACTGGGACCTAGCAGAACAAATACATCCCCTCAGTTTACACAGAAGCACTTCAGCTATCTGGTTACTCTCTTCAATCTTCTCTAGGCTAAACAATCCTAGTCATCAACTCTTTTTTATTGCTGGGAACCCAGAGGGCGAGACCAATTAGGAGACTGTTGTAAGGACTAGATGAAGCCAGGTTGGTGTCCTGAACCCCTGGGGCCATGGCCAGACAGGCCCCTGGAGAGAAAAGTGAAAGTATTAGTCACTCGGTGGTGTCTGACTCTTGCAACGCCACCAGGCGCCTCTGTCCGTGGGATTCTTCAGGCAAGAATAATGGAGTGGGTTGCCATTCCCTTCTCCAGGGGATTTTCCTGATCCAGGAATCGGAGCCAGGGATGAAACCCCCGTCTCCTGCATTTCAGGTAGATTCTTGACCATCTGAGCCACCGGGGACGCCCAGGGTATCTGAGGGAGAGGGCCATGGGGCTAGGGGCTGGTTCTTGCGTGGGTGATGGAGGGGGTGGGGTTTGGTGAGGAGAGAACAGAAGATACTAGGCCAAAAATCAGATCAGCAGGGGGTGTGCAAAGCAGAAGAAATAGGCAGTCAAAAGGACCCAGATTTTGGTCTTGGTTTAAGATAAATGAGGCCAGTAAGAGGGGCAGAGTTGGCGTCCATAGGTTGTTGCTTGAAGGTCCGTGGTGGGTTTGCTGAAGTAAAGGCCTGGGTCTGGCAGACAGACACCACTGGAATTCTGTGTGTGTGCAGTCAGGGGAGGGATGGTCACCTGCTTTGCAATAGCCTCAAGGTGCCTCTGCCATCCCACCCCTGCCCCCACTGCCTGCTCCTGGGGGGTCCCCAGCCACGGGCAAGCCTCAGGTCCCCCAGCAGAGAAGGAACCCACAGCTACGGGTCCTAAGCTCTCAGAGTGCTAGATGAGTGTGTGTGCCCACCCCAGCAGCCCTCAGTTGCCTTAGGACAGAACCGCATTTCTTTCTTCTCTTTAAGGGATGGAACGCGCGAGCACAGGGCTTTTCCAAGGCCTCACTAAATATTTGTCACGAGCACTTTCAAACAGAAACTGCACTTTGACACTCCTGGATGAGATTACTTAAAGTTACTCCTCAGGCACTGCGGCAAATCCTCAGTGGCCGCGGTGGTCAGCCTCCCACCCCACCTCTGTGGGCCTCAGCCACCGAGGGGGAGTTGGAGGAGCCCCCCTCGAGCTGGCACATGGACAGTGACTCTGTTGGGGTCACAGTGAGTCATAGTTGGGGGGCATGGAAGGTATGTTCGGGACCTGACTCCCCTGCCCTCTCAAGCTCCACTTCATGGTAGTGATGGGGGGACGGGGGTCCCCCCAAAGCCTCCAGGCCAGATCACAGGCTCAGAATCCCAGAGAGCAGGGAGTATGGAGAAGGGAGGTCAGTCCTGCTGTTCTATGGGAAGACCAGTGCCTTCCTCGGGTATGGGGGTCTCCCCAAGGAAGCCTCAGGGGGGAAGAAAAAAACCTCCAAGGAATAACGGTGTCCCACCTGGCTCTGCAGAAGGCAGATGACAACAAGCCAAACAGGAGCAATCCAAGCTCTAGAACTAACTTACATCCTCCAGCCTTTTTAATAAAAATGTTATTACTTAACTTTTCTTGGTTAGCCAACCATGCTATCCCAAGCACAAAACTCCTCCCCTCACACTGCTGGTATACTTTCCTGAGATTTTACATTTTCTCCCCTCACAAATGATTATCTCCACACCGCAGGATGGAGGAAATAAATTAGCAAGTGATCACAGACCTATCATTCCAATTCCCCATCCCCAGCCCCGTCTATCCTTCAGAAAATATATCAAGAGAGTTTTGTGAATCTTTAGAGGGAAATTACATGAACACAGTCTGTTTAAAACGTAATGAGGTAATCAGGGTCAGACCAGACAAGTCCAGGAGCTCTCAGATCTCTGTGTGCTGAGGAGAGAGGGCCCCTTAGTGGGATCACTGTGACCACCATTTGCTCAAGATGTAAAGATGCTTTTAACAGAGATAAAGTGAATAGAAAGGCAATTTTGCACTTAGGGGTGAAACTATTATTTTTTTTAAGCTAACTCTAAAAAAGTCAGGTCATCACACAATATGATGAGAGATATTGTAAAGGGATTTCGTAAAAGTTATGCCATCAGAACACAGCATTATCAAATCTACAGACAGTTTCTGAGAGCAGTTAAGGATAAAAAGAATCCTTTAAACAATCAAATATATTTGAGCTAAAGAAATTGAGGCCTGAAATGTATAAATGACTTCCCCAAAATCAAAGGCATTCCTTCTTTTTCTTTTTTTTTTTGCTTTCACACCACAGAATCCCAAGGCATCCACTTGGAAGTCACTAAGACTCAATTCATTTCTTTCAGGCAGAGAATGGGCTGAGCGCCATCGCAGTGCCTGGATGGCAGACATAAGGTTGGCAGCATCTAACCGTCTAGCTGCTTCCACATCAGCCCCACCAAATGTCAGTGTGATAAGGGTTAAACCAGACAAGTCCCTGAGCTCAGATCAGTGTGTGCAGAGGTGCATGAGAACTGCTGCTGCCGGGGAGAGAAGCCCTGGGGACAGCGTGCCTTCTCTTATCTTGATGGCAGGGCTATTCTGCCCTTTGTGTAACCCCCAAAGCCTGACAGCAAACTGTGCAAAGACTGTCTCCAGGCTGTGGCTGTTGCAAGTGCTTTTGCGAAGATTAGGCTGTTTGATAAACAGATCAACTTGGAGCTGGAAGGGACTTTAGAGTTTGCCCAACTCAGCCCTCTAGATTTTTTTTTTTTTAAGCAGAGGAGGAAGTTGCCTCTCTGAGAGGAACAAGAAGCACTCAAAGACACACAGAGCGACTCACGGGGTGTAGGAGCCGGGATGAGAACAGAGCCTCTGACTGCTCTCTTGCACAGCTTCTCCCAGGCAGGCAGGCTTCTGGAAAGGCCCCCAGAGCACTCCTTCAGTCCCAGCCCGCACGCTTTCTCTCTCTACCAGCTCTCAGCCGCATTTCCTGCTTTGCCACTGTTGACTGCATGACGGAAGCTGGAAACACAAAACATAGTATTGCTTTTGTGGCTCAACTGATAAAGAATCCACCTATAATGCAGGAGACCTGGCTTCGATCCCTGGGTTGGGAAGATCCTCTGGAGAAAGGAAAGGCTACCCACTCCAGTATTCTGGCATGGAGAATTACATGGACTGTATAGACCATGGGGTTGCAAAGAGTCAGACACGACTGAGTGACTTTCAGCTTCATTTTCTTTCTATCAATTCCTGGCCTTTGGGTGCATTCCCGTTCTAACCCTTATTGTAAAAAAAAAAAAGAAAGAAAGAAAGAAAATTTCTTGAGTAGCACCTGTATAGCGATCAGCTGGGACTCTTGCTGAGCTCCAGTTCCCTGGGCCCCATCCCAGGTAGAGAATTGGCAAACCTCATTTTCAACAAGTACTTCTGGCAAGTTTTATAATCAAACAAGTCTCCCAAACAGACTGGGTAATGTTCAAGGCTCTTCATTGTCAGGCCTCAACCAGCCTTTTCAACCTTGTTCCCTGGGCTTCTGCCCATCACATTCCTATGCTTCAGCTTTACAGAACATTCTGGCATTTAATAGAATTGCACTTGTGGTGAAAGAGCTACTGTTTACTGGGTGTCTCGAAAGCATCACACAAGCGCCATCTTGTTTCAAAACCTCTCCAAGGTAGATGCTGATACCACTCCCATTTTATGATGAGGACTAAGGGATGGGAAGGTGAATAACTGGTCTAAGGGCACAGAGCCCAAGGCCCTCACTCCCAGCCATCTCACGGCAGTGTCTCCTTGAACATAGCCCTTGTTTTTCTCACGTATATCTTTGTTCACACCCTTTCCTCTTCAAATCTGATGCTCCCTCTGCCCACTGTCCCTGCTTGATGATGCCCTGCTAGTTCTTCCCAGCTAGCACCGCCTTCTTGTGCCTCTTTCTGGGATCCTCTGACTTTGTGCCTGGTATTGCAGGTAATCGTGAGCATCTTTTCCATTGGCCCCTGCCCTAGGCCACGCCTGGGTAACTGCGGGAGATTCCTATCTGATCTCCACCCTCACTCTGCAGCAACAGAGAGTCTTTAAGTATCTATCAGTCACCTCAAGTCACTGTTCACAAGCTCCCCATCTCCTTTCCATCTGGGCTCTAACCTCAGCCCTACTTCTCCCCTCCTTGCTCACTCTGCTTCCAAGCATGTTGGTCTTCTGCTGTTCCTCCAAGATACTGTGCTTCCCCCTTCCTTGGAAGCTGCTATCTTCTCTTCAGAGAAGTCCCAGAGACCCACGTGACTCACTCTTACTTCCTTTATATCTCTGCTCACAAGTGGCTTTATCACAGAAACCTTCTCTAACTACCCAGGACAAGAAGGTAACTCCTTTGGGCCTGCACAAATGGGGATGCCAAGGTCCAAAGAGAGAAGTCCATTATCCGAGGTCACACATGAAGCGGTGGCACTTCAGACTGTTACCTGGCTCTCTCAGCTTCTCATCAGTCCCTTCACCACTGATCTCTGTGACCAGGAGGTCTGTCCCAGCACCCATCCTGCTTACCAGGTGGATTTGTCCAATTTCTGCCACATATGGGCTGTATGATCATAGGCAGGGAGTTTCACATGAAAGCCTTAATTTCCTTAAACAGAGTAAGGAGGGGCAGAGGGAAGCAAGGAGCATGGATGTGGGGGGCCTCTCAATTAAATAATATCTGAAAGATTAAGTTTGCTGCTTGAAACCTGATCCTATACAGATCCAACTTATGCGGAGACTAAAGCAAAAAGAATTTTGAGGGTCTTTTATGAGAAAAAGAATACAAAAGATTACAAAACTTCCTGCACATGATTCTCTACTTAAATGTAACAAAAACGTTCTCTTTTTAAAACAAATTGTGACCGGCAATGGAAAGCAGTTACTATACAATAATGTGGAATGGAGAGATCCTGGGGCAAGCAAAATGAATCACCACCAGCCACACCAAAGGCTAGGCTTCATTCAAAGAAGCTGATATTGTATAAATGGTGGAATTGGAAGGGCCTCCTCTATTATGAACTCTTTGGGAAACCAAACAATTCCAACAAGTACAGCTTCCAACTAGATCAACTGAAAGCAACACCCAACGAGAAGTTCCTGTAATTAGTCAACAGAAAATGCATAATCTTCCATCTAAATACTGCAAGACCGCATGTTTCTTTGATGACCAGGCAAAAACTGTTACAGCTTGGCTGGGAAGCACTGATTCATCCACCATATTCACCAGTCACTGCACTTTTGGATTTCCACGTATTTCGGTCTTTACAAAATTCTTTTAATGGAAAAAATTTCAGTTCCTGAGAAGACCATAAGTGTGTTGGTCGCTCAGTTGTGCCCTACTCTTTGCGACCCTGTGGACTGCAGCCCATTAGGCTCCTGTGTCCATGAGATTTTCCAGGCAAGGATACTGGAGTGAGTTGCCATTTCCTTCTCCAGGGGATCTTCCCGACCCAGGGATCAAACCCCGGGTCTCTTGCACTGCAGGCAGATTCTTTACCGATTGAACTATAAGGGAAGCCCAGAAGACTATAAAGGTACCTGGAACAGTACTTTGCTCAAAAAGATAAAAGATTTTAAGAAGATGGAGTTAAGAAGTTGCCTGAAAAAATGGCAGGAGGTAGTGGAACAAAAAGGTGAATATTAATACACTGCTTAATAAAAAAAAAAAAAAAATACACTGCTTAATAAAGCTCTTGATGAAAATGAAAAATTTGTCTTTTATTTTTACTTAAAAACCAAAGGAAAGTTTTGGTCAACCCAATATATCTTGCAAAGCCCAAACTAAAATACTCCCAACTCAAGGTCCTCTTAGCTGGAGGGCACACTTGTTCTGCAGTCACTTTATATCACTTAACAGTCCTGAGGGGTATGATGGGAGGAAAGTCAGAGTGGAGATAGCATTCTTAACCAACTATGGTTAAAATATCTGATTTTTGCAAATTTCGTGAAGACAAATGGCAATGAGGACGTGTTGGAAGGGCCTGTGATGATAAGAAGCTAAACTGCATTAGCCTCCCCGTGAATTCAGCCTGGCCCTTGAAGCAGAAAACAGTCCACTCCACCTACCTGTGTGAGAGTAATCTAACCTGTTTGACCAGTGAGTTAAACCCAAGGAGAAGCAATCTTCTTGATCTCACAATAGTATATTTTCCTTTCTATGGAATAACGTCATAAACTCCAAGGAAGAGCTCAGCTCTAAACCAAAACCTTGATGAGTTCACATGCAAAGGATCACAGAGTCCTGCCAGAAATATCCTGGACTTGTATTTCATTCTCAGTGTTCAAAGTACTGCACCATCATTTATAATCCTCATGACATTCTTGTAAGGTATGAAAAATATAAGTGAAAATTGAAATTTTCACTTTGGGTATGTTTTCTGCTTAAATACCATTGGATACTTTGTAAAGCTGGGGTATATAATTTAATAGCAATATTTTCACAAGATGGATGACTTAGAAGAGGCAAATCTTTAAAACTATTAAATATCATTGTCTACCTTTCTAATATATCTCTTTTTATCTTCTCAAAGGGATTAGGGAGTAAAATCACTTGAAGATGAAAGGGTGTGATTTTTCCACTCAAGGAGCAGACTGCTGTTTGTTGGCCAAGAGATGTTGATATGCATCTGAAGATAAATAGTTAATAAAGGTGTTTGGATCTCAACATCTGTTGCCATTCTTGGAAGTTGGGACTTAATTGCAGACTGCAGCATCAAATCTTCAGAGGGTTTGTAAGACAGAGATTGATTGGGGTCACCAGGTTACCCAGAAGTAAAATCCCAATCCTTATCTTTAAGATGCAGTGTCCAATTGATTCTCTCTGGATCATTACCCACAGCACATGGAGGTAAAGCCAGGAGAGGAGTGGTCAAACATTTTCCTTTTCAAGATACTTTCTAAATAAACCAGAGTGGTGCTTTGATTCTGGTGAAGAATCCCCAAGTGAAGGGCTAGCTAAGCTTAGAGATGGCAGCAATAACGTTATGTCAATAACACACCTTCCACTTTTATATCCAGTGGAGAGGAGCAACACTGAGAAGGCACCGTCTGCTTTCCATCTTAGAGCCTGGACCACAGAGGCCAAATCTGACTCCTCAGGTGGCACTGCTGGCCAAGAACCCACCTGCCAATGCAGGTAGATGTAAGAGACCTGGGTTCGATTCCTGGGTCAGGAAGATCCCCTGGAGAAGGAAATGGCAACCGACTCCAGTCTTCTTGCCTGGAGAACCCCACGGACAGAGTAGCCTGGCGGGCAAAGGTACATAGGGTCACAAAGAGTCGGACATGACTGAAGTGACTAAGAGAGAGAGGGGTAGCAGGGTGAAACTTCAGACTATAAATCACAGGGTCCATTAGCCATCTATAAAGTCAGAATAAGTAATGTGTGTCTGTGATTAAATATGCATGCGTGCTAAGTCGATTCAGTTGTGTCTGATTCTTTGCAATCCTCTGGACCATAGCCCACTAGGCTCCTCTGTCTAGGATTCTCCAGGGAAGAATACTGGAGTAGGCTGTTGTGCCCTCCTCCAGGAGATCTTCCCAACCCAGGGATCAATCCACGTCTGTTATCTCTTATGTCTCCTGCATTGGCAGGTGGGTTTTTTTTTCACCACTAGCACCACCTGGGAAGCCCAATTAAAATCAATAGCCAGGGACCACTCCTCAACTGAGTTAAGAGAACTGAATTCTGGTCACACTGCACCCCCAAGTCCCACGTAACTTTGAATAGGTCACCTTTCCTCTTAGTATGCCATGGCTCCATCTTTAAAATGATGGAACAGACTCGATTTCTAATGTTCTTTTCAGAATTTAAACTTAACATTCAATTATCTTTATTTTGAGTCTTAACTAAATATTCTGAGTCTTAACTGAATACCTTCCCTGGGACTATGGCCCCTGAATTTGCAAACCCATGTTCCCCGAAACAGAGACAATCAACGGAGGAGGCCCAAGCCTTTGTGAGAGATACTGTGGACCAAATGACCAAGGGACATGATTTT